ATAGAATCACAGACTGGCCTAGGCTGGAAGGGACCTTAGAGATCATTTAATCCAACCTCCCTGTCATGGGCAGGGACGCCTTTCAACCGGATCAGGTAGACACCACTGTGAAGAGTCTGGCCGCATCTTCCTGTCACTCACCCTTTAGATATTTATAAGCATTGATGAGATACCCCAAAATGGAAAAAAACGGGGACAGAGAGCATCTCTAAAACTAATGTTTGGGGATTTTCATCTTCCTGCTTTCCCCTCTTCCTATTTAGCATATACATAAATTTTGATTGTGAGGTGATTGCTGACTGTGTAGAGTTAGAAACTCAAATAGGAAAATGGGCAACATTAATAGATTGGGTGCCATTCAGACATGGAAATTTAGTGTGTTGAACTGAGTGTTAGGTATGGAAAAATTTAACTCTCTGCAAAGATTTCAAATGTGAAAACCCCCAAGGCACAGAAACTGTGAAAGGAGGTAGTGTAACTTGAGTGTAGGGCTAGAGGTGAAGAAATCAACAGGATTTCTCTGGTTTTGATGATGTGAAATTCAATTCTAGATTCAGACACCTAAATTTAGGTGAGTACATAGCAGAGCTTACCCATGAGGCATTTGAGCTCACTGTATCGTTCTTTGTCTGTCTGACTGTATCTCTAGATGGAATGATTTAGTTGCTCTCTAGCCTTCTGCTGAGCTTTTATAACACAGACACTGAGCTCATATATATGCAGTCATACAAATCAGGTGCTGAATTTTGAATGAAATCCCATCTGGCACATCACATTTCAATCTCTGTATTTGATTAATGTCTTGGGTTTTTTTTCTCGATAGAAGGAGAATTATGGAGTTTTCTCTCTTTTTGGAGAGGTCTGTGAGATTCATCAATGGAAAGCTCTAAAACTCTCTGAAAATAGTATATTCAGGGAGAATTTAGGATGGATGTATGGGAAGTTCTTTTTCACTGTAAAAATGTTCAGCTTTGTAGTTTACTGGAAGATACAAGAGGAAACCTCTTAAGAGTTTAAAAAAGGGATTGAACAATATCTCTGAGAAAATAAGGGAACATTTGTTTTGTGGTATTAGTCAATATGTAAAGAACCCAGATGCAACTGAATTTCATGGTTCTTGAATATAAATTTTTAACACTAGTGTAAGGTACAAGGCCTTTTTGGGGATCTGAAAGGGCAAAAGACATGTCTGGGGAACAGCTGGTGCTTTGCGTTTTTGCCAGTTGCTCAAATATTTGAAAACTCAGCATGTCTCTTATAATAGCCGTGGTCCACTGCTGTTTGGAAAGATTGTACATTGTGTTTGATGTCTTTCATGTTTGCTTCTGCACATCTTTCTACGTGTTTTGGGTTTTTCTGACTTGCAGAGGCAGTGTCAAACTTCTTACATGCACTTTAGCAGCTGTTGTCCAGAGGAAAATGGTCCAAGCTGACCTGGAGTGATACTCCTACAGCCACAAGGGAAGCATGGAAAGAAAAGCGAAAATGCTTCCTTTCTCTCTGTACCCTGCTTGCCTCAACAGCAGTAACTACTGAGATAAGTGCCTTCTGATTTGGAAGCAAAAGGTATTTATGAAAGTTTTTACAAGGGGAAAAAAACCCAAACCAAAATAAAAACTACAACCAAAGAAAAACTGAGAAGAAAGGGGCAGATGAGAATACTGAGGGAGCGTGCCTAATGTAGATTTGTAATGGCCTGATCTAAGCTAATTCAAGCTTCTGATGTCCTGCCCTTTCAGAATGCGCATGAAAATCGAGTTACTTGCTGATGCCTGTAAGGGCCCATTTGTACTCCAGAGGTCAGTCCAGCCAGATGTTGTGTCCGATCCACATCTGGTGAGGCATATGTGGGTATAGTGAGATGTGAAGTGACATCTCACCCTCAGAGTTTTCTTCATCCCCCTTTGACTCTTGCTGCCAGTTTTCTGGTCTGACTGTAATGTCTCATACATTTCTGGAGCAGCCAGTTACACAGATGCAAGTATAGCATCTTTCTAGATAATGAATTTTCTTCAAGAAAGATTAAGTACATCTACGTGTTGTGTGTGGTAAAGAAAAGGGTGGTAGTGCTTGTAGTGCTTTAGTGGCAAGGACAGTTAGTAGTAAGGGCATTTTTTTACTTACTGATGGGTTAGTAGCTGAATAGATCTGTAAGTATTTAATTCAGATAGTTGAAGGGTGTAAATTAGAAGAAACATATAATTGCAATTGCAGGCCTCTTTTTCTTTTTCTCTGATCGGGAGCAATTAATGCATTGCTTAATCTGTTGCATATATTTACTCATCAGTGTTCAGTTTACTTTTCAGAATTAAACTTCACGCTGAAATGAGGTGGATACGTAATAATTTAAATCATACATTCCAAAATGAATGTTGTTTTTTCTTCTCGCCCTAAGCACTGCTGTGTTTTTGTCTGCTCTTTAAAGAAATAGGATGTTTTGTGTCTGTCTCTCTTGCACTACTTCTGGAACATATTGGAGCATTTCATAAAGGATGAGAAAATGAAAAACTCACTGTAGTTGTGTGTTGTCTTCAGATTAGCTTTTATAGGTGAGGAAGAACGTGATATGGAGAAGAGACTTAAATTTGTGCTCCTGGTAAAAGGCATTTTGATTATATTCAATGCAGTAGGTGTTTCAAGAGGTAGTAGGCAGTTAGCCAGGCAGCAGCAATTAGCTGAGCTTCTAGCTGCTCCCCACACATTGTGTGGGGTGGTGAGGAAAAGTGGGGTGAACTGCAGAAGGTAAGAGAGGGGACCAGCTCTGAGAATGTTGGACAGGAAGCCGTGGGAAACCAGGCTTTATTCTGCTGGTCTCCTTATCTTTTCATATAAGAATTTAAGTGAGATGAGTCAAAAAAATGAAATTGAGAGTTTGAATATGAGTAGGAAAACATACTCCCAGTAATTGTGTTAAAAAAGCAAACCAACCATCCCTCACAAACTCCAAACCCAGCAAGAATGATTGTCTTCTTCATCAGAGTGTTTTTCTGATGAATTGCACATAAAATTTGGTTCCACAGAAAGACAGGTTTGAGATGTCTAATCACCTACTGATATTTCAGGAATCCTGTTGTCATAGTTGTAGGGAGTCTCTACTATGCCCTTAGTATGATGGTGTCATGAATGTTACAGAGAAAACCAAAAATTGTACCTTATGTGTTGTGGTAATACTAAGGTTTGGATTTATGTCACTTTAGCACTGATTTATTCTCTTGTTAATTTACTTCATACTCATTATGTTCGCGAGCATTTTCCTGCACAGTGAAACAATTCTTCATGATGACTTATTTCACAGCTGCAATGCTTTAGACTGTTTGCAGTGTGATGTTGCTAGATGTGGCTCTTCAGTAATTTGGATTTCTATGTCTTACCTATTTTCATCAAGTTCAGAAAACTGCATTGGAAATTAAGTCATATTTTTAAAGGCATCGGTTTGCAGAGGAATACAAAATCGAAGAACAGAAACAAGACGGTTTTTGGTCTTGTATAAAAGAAAAATCGTTCCTCTCTTACCTCTGATGTATTGTTTAAAATTTAGCAAACTCAGCTGGGCTTTAATTCTGACATATTCAAATAAGATGTCACATATTAAGAAAGATGTAAAATATAATTCAGAACTGCTGCTTAGAAGTTATAAGCCTGTTTCTTCATGGCCTGTTCTGAAATAATCTCGCAGTTAAATAATTTGCTTTTCGCTAATTGCATACAAGTTGAACTTTCTTTAGAATTTTTTTGGGAAGAAACTATTTTAAACCTTCAGGGAGTAAAGTCATTACAAAAAATTACTATGCAACATTTGAAAAGCAAAAGGGCCTTTTAAATTTACTGATGTGGTTTTAATTAGAGAAATCGAGAGGTTTAATTTCTTTAATGCAATAAAAAAGAAATTTTCTGTTAAGCCTTTTCCAAATGAACTTATGTCCTTGGTAACACTGTAACTTATTCCAGAAAATTTCAGTGTCACACGTTCTTTAAACAGAATATTTTTCGTAATAATGCATGGACACTGAAATATCAGGCTTTAAAAAAAAAAAGCTCATCAATTTGACTCCTGATCGTGCTAATCCATTTTTAAAAAAACTGCATAAGAACGTTTTATATTATATGCTCTTGTTTCCCTCCTGGGATAATTCTGTCCCACTTGGGCATCCTTACTTGCAAAGCTGCTGTCTGCAACGTACAGTGTTTTCTGTGCCATTGGGCTTGGAGATCTTCTTTTGTATTGGTTTTCCCAATCCTAGATTCTTTCATTTTTTATTTTTTTTTTTTAAAAAACAGTTCTGACAACCATTGTTTTTTCAGATAAATGTCTTCCTACATCTCACGTGTTCCCAAAATCTGCTTAATACATGCTCTTACCTCATTTGAATTGTCCTTCAACTCCACCTGGGGAAAACCATCTTCTTCCTTATGTTGCAGCTTCTTCCTTACTCTTTTACTTAACTCTATTTCTTCCTTACTATATTTCTGTGAAGGCTTTGCTCTTAGGTGTCAGATGGGTTTATCAACTTGACTGAAAACTGTCAGAGCGAGGGTAGATCGGTGGCTTGGGGCTGGCGTGCCCGGACAGTCCGTCAGTGGCCCGCTTGTCAAGGCAGCAAGACAGCTGCCTCTCCTGCCTCTCCTCTGGGGACTGCTGGGGTTTTTTGTTGCTGTTTTGTTTTTAAAAAATGCAAATGTGCACTAAAGTCTGGTGATTCTGGTAGCACAAGTCTGTGCATGCAGTGAATTTTACACCAACTTCGAGGTAAAAAGTGTACATGGACGTGTCTGCTGTACTGACCTGAGCTGCTCTTGTCGTGCTCTGGCTCAAGTGCAGAACTCCAGTGCCTTGGTGGGAATTGGACGATATCTCACTGCAGAAAGGCTGAAGCAAGCACTTTTAAAGAATGGTGAAGTGTATTTTGTAGAAAAAAACCCCACCTGAATGTGTACTGCACAGATTCGTAGCTCTCCATTTCATTTTGGTAAACGTAATGCATTTTTTCTGTGAATTCCAGGTTTTGAGCCATGCCTTTGGTTAAAAGGAACATCGAACCGCGGCATCTCTGCCGAGGAGCTCTGCCAGAGGGAATTACTAGTGAACTGGAATGTGTGACCAATAGTACCCTTGCTGCTATCATACGCCAGCTAAGCAGCTTAAGTAAGTAACTTCTGCAAGTATTTGACTTTTGATGAAAAACTGAGTAAATGAAAAAACTTGAAGATGGCTTGGTTTTAAATAGAAAAATTAAGATACAGGACTTATGTAATATTATACTTTTGTATCATAATAACATATTTATGTAGTGTAATAATATGATGCTACTTGATTGCTTTGATTCTCTTCTGTATTTTGAAGTTTATACAAGAACAGCCTCTCAAAGATGCACAAGTGTAAAAACAAACAAACAAAAACTCACCCCTGAATAAATTAAAAAAAAACAACACGAAAAACCCCTAAATCAGAATGCAACCAACCAAAAAACTATGGCATAAAACCCAGGAATTTTTCGAAGAAGAGAGAAATTGGTGCCAGAAACAAGACTAACACTTGAGTTACTCTTGTCTGTCAGTTGTACAAGATGTAGCCAGCAAACTCTTCTGCCTCTTGGCATATTTCAGTGAAGATTCACTTTGTCTAAATGTGCTAATATTTCTTAAGCCTTTTCTTTATACATATGTGTGTGATCAATTCATATGAATGAAATTAAACATGTATACACTGGAAGAATGGCATTTACTGAGCAAACTGTGGGCTACTGTTGAGCAAGCTGGTGTTAGCTCCATACAGAGTAACCCACACAGTTCACCTGACAGTTGGCAGCACACAGAGAAGTTCTCGAAGCGTGCCTGGAGTGCTTGCAAGAAGAAGAATGTTTCTTAATGAATGGGAAGAGAGATTTCTTCAGAAGAGTGTTTAACAATCAGCAGCTGTTGTTTGTGCTGATAACTCTGGCCCTAGAAAAGAAATTACTGCTTCATCAGTTTCTTCAGTTATCAAATGGAAATAAGAAAGTCCATGTGTGGAGTTTAGATTATGGATGCTGCTCAGTCCGCTGTTTAGCTTGTGGTGACAGGAAACAGCCTGTGCTTAGGGAAGGAGTATATGGAGAAACACAACATGTTCTTCTTCCCTGTAGTCACTGATTGTCTGAACTGGAGGTCTGTCTGAGTCATCCAATGTAAAAAGTGTTTGTAAACCTCTCATCTGTGGAATTTCTCAGATGTGTTCAAAAGAGGATTGCATTTTTTTCTTGCCCAGTGACCTGTGTCAGAATGTCCTACAGTAGAAATTGACTTGTTGCTTCCTTTTCATACCTTCTGGTTCTTGAGTTATGAAAAATAATGAAAAGTGATTTTATTTGGTGTATTTCTGTAATCATCTGTGATTTTAAATCTTTATTGTGGTCTCCACAATAAAGATTTTCCAGGTTGGAGTGTCCTGATCTGTTAATACTCTTTTTGGATAGAAATAATGTCATACTTCTGGTCATTGTTACTTCTGCTTTGGATATGTAAGTTAGAGTATTTTGGGTTAAGGTGGAGTGTTGAGGACTTTAGTTCATAATCAAAACAGACTTTTCCTGTTTTATCTTTAGTTTCCTAAGAACTTAAATTTTGATCGCTGTTAAATGTTGAGTTGCTTACCTTCAGGGAAGCTTCCAGGTGATTCTCTGATCCTCTCAAGCAGTAGCTGCCGATTTAATGTCTAATGTTATTTATAGTTAATTTGTGTTTGTATTGTCATTGAGTTTAATTTAGTGTTTTGTCAGGCAGCTGCTTGGTATTGACATCCTTAATTTTCAGAAAACTGAGAAGAATGGCTAATGTCCTAGTTACACTCAAGGATATCTGATAAGACTTCATTTTGGTATTGTACAATGATTGCCAAAGTGTGAATAATACACTTCTCACGTGTCTGACTTCCTAGGAATGTCTGGCTTTGAGTTCTCTAGGATTGGTCTTAGGGCTAATTTGCCCATTTTACACTGCATATTGAGATCCTCTTAGGACAGTTGCTGAGGAACTGGCTGCTTACACAATCTGTATCCTGCATTTTTCTTTTAGCAGGTTTCTTAGGTCATCAGAAATCTCTGTGGACAGCCCTAAAGTATTTTATTTGTGTCAAGTTAAAATCTATGCAAATAAATGATGTGTCCTTTGTTTTAGCAGATGATTACATAGTATTTAATGAATTAGGTCTACCACCATGCTCTTCTACAATCTGAAATGTGTCATGTTTGCAGAGGGTTATTTCTGCAGACAGCATTTGTTTTGCCTGTGTTTCAGGCCAACTGGAAGCAAGAAAATGATCATAGAGAAATGCTGTGCTGGAGCTAATGTCATGTGTCCTGCTGACAGTATCAGAGCTTGTTGACGTTCCCACAGCTTGAAGCGTAGAGAGAGCAAGTACAGGTCTATCTCGCAGTCACACTGTTTTTTAATATTGCGCTGTGAATTCTGTGTGGATCTTAAAAACTGGCAGATCTGTGCTGTTGCTTACAAATTTGGCTCACTCCTGCCTCTGCTCTTTTCAGGAGACGTGAACAAGTTCCTCTCCAAAGAGAATGAGCTCTCAGTGGAGCTTTTTTTCTATTATGTCTTCAGATTTGGGTCTGTTTCCAGCCAGCTGGCTTGGAACACAGGCAGAGTGAGCAGCATTCTGTATGAAAATCGGCACTTTTATAAAAAGCAAAAGCTTCACTGCCTGGGCGAGGAAAGAATCTACTAGGGGGAGGACTGAGAGCATTTGCAGCCCATATCCGGAAGTGCCATGATGCTTTACCTAGAAAACACCGTCATGGAGCAAAGGCTTTGAAGAAAGCTTCCAGAAAGTACTCCCTGACTTTTGGCAGTGGAGTTTGGTCTGATGGCTGCAGGACTCTTAACCAGTGTGAAAAGCTGCTCTTGGCAGCAGGATCTGTTGCGTCATGGTTGCGTTCTTGAGTTTGTGTGTGTGGTGGGAGAAAATAATTGTACACCAAATCTGGCAAACTGTGTATGTACTCTTTTATTGAGCTTTTCTTAATTAGATTGAAGTCTCTACATTAACATACTTGTGTTTCAAATCACATTACCACTTCTTTCTTTAAATATTTGGATTTTTTTGTATCTTGAGTTTTTCCATTCAGATACTACCTGTCAGGCTGAAATCTTATTTCCACATGAGTATAAACCATCTGTACATGGGTGCAAACGATACCAAAAGTTTCTTGCGGTACCATGTAAACCAGAGGAAGTGTTGTCTGTGGGGACTTGGAAGACTTTCTTTCATATATGCAGAGCAATTTCCACCAACTTACCTCCTAACACCTTCTTGGGTAGATCGGCCATTGCTGAGAGTTCAACTAGTTTCATTGCAGGCCTGAGCGCACCACATCCAGCTTTGGGTGACTTTTTTTTTTTTTTTTTTTTGGCATTAAGTATACTGCTGGAGGTACTGTGAGGAGGCAGATAAGAATCAGGATCTGATCATCAGTAACAGCCTATCACCTTTGCTTCCTCCTCCCAAGAAACAAAAAAAAGGTGTGAGGAGTCTAGGGCAGAGGGAGAAGCACGATTCTAATGCTAATTGCTCTAGTTACAAGTTGTCATAGAATAGTTTTGATTGGAAGAGACCTTCAAGATCATGGAGTCCAACCTTTGTCCTAGCCCTACCAACACCAACTAAACCATGTCCTTCAGCACAGCATCCACCTGTCTGTTAAACTCCTCCAGGGATGGTGACTCAGTCTTCTCCATTACGTGGTAAAATAGTCATGTCCTGGGTGAATTCCAATTTAATAATGCCAGCGAGTTCTGCAGGACGTTTCAGTCCTTACGTAGAACGCTGAGAAGAGCATCAGAGCAGCGCTGGCTCCCTTTGGGACAGCCCCGATGCCATCTTTCTTCCTGTGTCTTGCCAAACTGACACCCGAATGCCAGGTGATGGCGTTGCTCTTATTTTTCTCTGATAAAAGAATGTTCATGGTGTGAAAAACTGTAACCCTTGTAATGCGCTATAAGTCCGTCTATTAGCTTGGACATATTCTTTCGTGTATTTGTGCTGTGGAGCATTTGCAAAGGAAAAATGGATGTTTTAGACTCAAATACATGAAAGGAAACTAGCCAAAGTAATAAACACTGTCGGATTTCTGGTCTTCAGAAAAGCCAGCACTGTTGTTGGATTGCTCTTCTGTTAGAGCGTGGAGCATTTTGACTGCTGCTGAAAGATACCTTTGAGGCAACACATCCAGTGGGTTAATGCACACCTTCTTATGCACTGTGTGAAAATCGATTGTAATTCAGGTGGTGTTTGGTCTCTGCTGGAGGTGTTGTAAACTGATGTGGCAAGATGATGTTCCATGTAATTGCTTTAGGAGTAGGTTTATTATTTCAATTATTTGTGAAATACTGATATTCAGAAATGTTCTCTCAGTGCTTGGAAATTTATTTTATAAGCAATCAATCTATGGATGTGACCTGCAGAAGTGCTAGAATGAGGGAGGCACTTCTGTTAATTCCCATTAAAACCTATTGAGGGTGGTGATTTGGTGAGGCAGCATCATAATTTAATTTCCCCTCAACTATTTCTATGGTTGGAGGGAGCCTTAGAAGGAAAGATTGCATAATTCTTATTTTCTTTTAACTAATTTAGGTTGCCTGTATGTTGGGAAACACCTCATGTTTTTAATGACTAACTTACAGTACAAAAATCGGCTCTTAAGTTGAAAAGATACATGCTTGTAACTTCAGATAGTTGGGGTTGTTTTCTGCTTATTTCTGTATTCTTAAAAAATCTAATTTAAAAAATCCAGTTAAAAAGATGATAACATAGAAAACACAAGCAATATTACTTTATTTCTAAAACTGCATCATGTTAATCAGAATAGTGTGTCAATATTACTTTACTATATCACTGGGTTTTTTTGAGATTGACAACCTGTCTTTCACTTTTTTTAGAGTAGCACTAGAGAATTAAAAATTAAAAGAAGCGTGTTACCACAAATTGATTTTATGACTTATTTTGCTTCCTGAAAGGTATCTGACAAGCACCTGTCTGCTTGACTTCTCTAGGGGAGATGTATTTAATCATAGGCAGCCCTCTCTCAGCAGACTGATTTCAATATATTAACATAAACTAACATCCCATTAAAATTTATTGACATTTTGAGCTCTGAATACTGGCGGCTGAAGAATGTAACACCTGCTTTATTTAGCTGAAGAGCTGAAAAGCTTATTTGTCCATAGCTTGGAATAGCCTCTTCGTTTGCAGTGCATGAGTCAAATGGGGATCATCATTGAATCTCAGGTAGCTGCTGGGAGGCACTTAGAGAATGCTTTCGGTGTGAAGGTGATCGACTACCACCTTTGTAAAATACTAAGGTTAATTTTAGGTCCCAACTTAAAATGTTAATTGCTGTTCTTTTGGAAGGTTAAGGTCCCTTCCAACCTAAGACATTCTATGATTCTAATATATATTCCATATTATTCCAACTACTAGATGAAGTTTCCCCACTCCCCTCCATTTCTTGCTCTTCAGACTTCTGTTGATACAGGTCTTAAGAAGATGAGTTGAATTTAGAAGTAGGGTTTGGGGATTTATTTATGTTAAATGCAGGAGACAGGATTTTCCTTTATGCCTGGAGAACTGATAGGGTGTAGATGTTTTGAGAGGGGTGTTGACTGCAGAAACTGGGACTGAGACACAAGTATGTGTGGTACTGTCAGTTGAGTGAGGGGGCGCAGTGAAGTTGGGTGGAATATGAAATTTGTAGGGAAATGGCAAAATTGTAAAACTGATTCTGATCCAGAGTGATGGAGAAGTTCAGACTAGGGGGCAGAAAGACAGTCACACAGAATCATAGAAGGCTAAGGGTTGGAAAGGACCTCTGGAGATCATCCAGTCAAAGTGTGGATGAGGATGCCTGGTGCTTTGAGATGTGGGAGATCTAGAAAAGGAACGGGCATGCACAAGGATCTGTGGACTAAGAGGGGATGGGGTTTGTCACATGGCACTCGCTGTTCGCTGTAGCACTTTTAGGGCATGGTCTGAGGCTGCAGATCTGAATGGGACTATCCACTCTGATAGTGATTGAGAAAATATGGCAGCTGACAGGTTGAAAAAGCTGTAGGCTTCTCTTGTGCGCTCTATCAAATCCAGACTGGCCGTGGGTAAACGTGGTCAGTGCCCTCTTAGTCTCTCAGATGACTCCAGTGATGGTCTTGCGTGTACAGGGTGTGTTTGTAGAGGTGAGTGAGTGGCCTTGCATTAGGATCCTGTGTTTTGTCTGTTTCACTTTGCCTTTATTTTGATGTTGGCTTGTGCTCATGGTTATAATTAAATCTTGATGACTAGGGACTGCAAGATTGCAGCATGTATTTCAGGAGCTTTTATGGACAGCAGTAACTTTGGGCCTTAATTGTCAGCACAGGGGCAGGTTTTCGTGGTCAGTTGTGTGTCAGTTGGCAGTACTTTGACTCCATAGAGATTGAAATTTGAAGGTCTCCCTGTTTTTAAGTAGGAGACTAATGAGGATGTCCAGGAGACCGAACTTCAGGCAGCATTTATGGTGTACTTATAGATTTTTGTACAAATCTGTTGCTCAAAATTTTGCTGAATGACAGACTGTGCTGTTATAATCCTGCAGCTACTGTGTTTTAACAGCTTCATGATCTAGAAGCCATTTGTCCTGTGTTTTGTAAGCCTTTAGCAAAGGGATTTTCTTGTCTATTCTCTTACACAGGCAAACATGCTGAAGACATATTTGGTGAATTGTTTAATGAGGCCAACAGCTTCTACATCAGAGCAAATTCTCTTCAAGACAGAATTGATCGTCTCGCTGTCAAAGTTACCCAGCTGGATTCAACAGTAGAAGAGGGTAAGTAATTGCATGGAAGCATTGAGCCAGAAGTGATGTCAGCAAGACCACAGTATTTAATTACACAACAATCTCTGACAAGACCACAGTGTTTAATTACACAACAATCTCTGACTTTTCAAAGTAATCCTGAAGTGGTATTTCATCTTGTTTTCTCAGGAAGGCAAGCTGGGAAAAATCATGCTAGCAGAGCGAGAAAAAAATATTCTGGGATCATGTAACTGTCTTCATTTTTGGCTTAGGGTTACTCAAGAAACCCCTTCAGTAATGGAGCCATTAAGCTGCTTTTTTCACATGGAAAACTTTTAGTCTGTGCATGTAATAAATCAGAAATGAATAAATCTAGACCTTACTGGAAATAAGTCAGAATATTGGGAAAAGTTTGAGGCAAATTTATTTTGGGCTAGAGTGGTCACAAACTAGAGCAGTAGTGTCTGTTCTGCAGTCATCTAAGATTTTATAATACTCTGCCTAAATGAGGCACTATGTGTTTGCATCAACTAAGTGAGATTCTCTAGGGCGTTCTAGTCGCTTTAAAATGCTGTTACAGCCTCACTTGCTTACGTGTTTGGTCATTCACTTCATAAATAAACGCATAAGTACTTAATAAGTAAATGCAAATAATTTAAATAACATCATTGTATTGTTCAAAAGCACTCACTAGAGTAAGAAAAACATGTTTGTCTAGCTCTAAAAGTTGTTAGTGCTACTTGTGATGTATTTACTAGTAGTATTTATATGGTTTCTGTATTATATTTAATACTTTATGTAGTTTATATTAAATGTTACTATTGATATTTAATAGTGCAGTTTTTAGCCTGCCATTTTTGACTCGTTCTGAAAACTATTACATGTCTGATGTTTTTCCTGGGTTTGGAACATGTTAACAGGTAGAATATCACACTTGATACTAGCCCTTTACTTTTTCTGTCTTAGAGGTCAAGAGCTATACGGGAACATAAGCTAAGCTATTATGAGGGCACTTCAGTATAGATTTTGAGACGTGTTGTGGTAGTAATATAAGCAAAGAAGATGATATTCATACATTGCACTTGTTCCGTGCTGAAGTGGATGTGGTTATTTTTGCTTTTGTTTCTTTTTTTCCAGTGTCTTACCTGGTACGCAATACCTCCTGGCTAGTTTCCAGAGTCTGGAGAATAATTAAAATTGAAAGGGGAAGCTAGTCTATGGACTGAGAACTTAGGCAGTTTTTATTTTAACTGGACAACAGTTACTACTCTTGTATTGCTAATCATCTTTCACATTATTAAGCTATATGTATTGTCACTTTAGCATCAGTAGGAAATTTTATTAGCTATTTTGCTGTAGAAGTATAATAATACTACTAAACTACTAATATAAACACTAATGCTAAATATACATTTTTGTATCTAACAGTATCATTACAGGATATCAACATGAAAAAAGCATTCAAGAGCTCGACAATTCAAGATCAGCAAGTAGTTTCAAAGAACAGCATTCCTAACCCAGTGGCTGATATTTATAATCAGAGTGACAAACCACCACCTCTGAATATTCTTTCACCTTATAGGTATGGAAATACAGTTTACATTCTTATACTTTGCCCTTTATCTCCTACTTGTATGCAAGAGAATGACTACAGTAGAAGGAAAAAGCTGTACTGGTATATTGAGTTTTGTTTCTTCAGGGCCTTTCCTGTTCATGGGAACAAAAATTGCTATTACCACACTTAAAATCAAATCATAAGTGGTACGTGACAAAAATAGTCATATTTCAGGTTAAGTGTTACATGACAGCACAGAATCAGAGAGCACAGGCCATCGATTATATTAAAAGTGAAAAGAAAATTCATAACATGCTGGAAAAAGAAAGAAAGAAAAAGCTGGATTTGTGGTTTCTGCCTTCCCTCTGTTCTTCCTCTTCCCCTCAACATACACATGCATGTGCACACATGCGATCTTCACCTTGTCTTGTCCCAGTTACTTACTGGTGAATAAAAAAGTAACAAGCAGGACTTTTTGTGTTTTATTTTTCTTGTTCATGAAAAGAATATAGCTTTTCTGTCTGAAGGGTTCCAAACAACATGTTTTCACCGTCTCCTTCAGCTTTCAAGAGGTCCTGGATTGTGAGGTATCGGTGTAAAGCAGTAGATTATCTGAATTTTTTTAGGAATGACGCAGAAGAGCATGTATGGTATATTTCATTTTTAAAAGCTTTTACCTGGAAGATAGAATTGTTAGATTTATAGCTGATGGACATGTGTTTTGCCACAGCTACAGTCAATGGTGGTGTTTGCTTATAGGCATCCAGTCAGGGAGGGTTGTTACTGATCAGCTGTTCTGCTCAGCTCTGTCCTAATATGTATCTGGATGACAGTGCCAATGATGTTTGTTGTTACTCCTGTTTTATTAGGGATACTTCAGTGAAATTTACTTAAATTATGTTTTCTTGCTAAATCTTCCACCTACTGAGTTTAAATTACTTGACTGAAGTAGTCTGACCAAAGCTGGAGGAGTGGAAGAGTGGGCCCAGTACCCCCTTCAGTAGGTTAGGTGTTTGTAGCAAGGAAATCCAGGACATAAAGAGTTTTATGGCTGTATAACCAGACAGTATAAAGGACCTGCTCTCTGTACCCTGCTCCAAGGGTTGTGAGGTTTCCATGTGCTGGTAAAAATTAGTACTTGGCTGCCATCAGAATTTGCCCAGGAAGAAATTAGCACTCACGGCCAAAAGGAACTGCTGTATAACCAGACAGTATAAAGGACCTGCTCTCTGTACACTGCTCCAGGGGTTGTGAGGTTTCCATGTGCTGGATCTCCATTGCTCTTGATCGTGCTGGTAGAAATTAGTACTTGGCTGCCATCAGAATTTGCCCAGGAAGAAATTAGCACTCACGGCCAAAAGGAACTCTGAAGGACACCAGCTGAACAAGTGAGACTGGGACCCCCGTCACACGCTGTTTGGACCCTGCCAGCTGCCCTGCTGTGTTCACTCTCCCTACACCCATTGCTTTCTGGGTCTTTAGGATTAGAAGATTCCCTCTTTCTAGGCCATGGGATCAAATCGGGGTTTGATAGCGTGTTCGTTTTGTGGCTTCTTAGTCTGAGTGTCCCTGGGTCCTGCTGCCCGTTGGAGTTGGCAAACCCAGGTCAGGTCTCTTTCAAATCCTCTTAGTCTTTACAATAATTATAATTCATCCTTTCACTTGCCACCCTTTTCCTAGCCCTTCCCTTAGTTAGAAGAGGCCCACTGAGAACAGCAGCTGTCTTGTGCCTCCTGTCGTAAGGGCGAAGGTACGCACGCGTCCCTTGTCCCTAAATACAGGTGTTAAGACCCGTCTGGATTGAACCAAATGCTCCTTTGTAATTTTTTTGGAGACAGCTGAGTTCCATTTGCACGCTCCTCTGCACATCCTCTCAAGGCGCTGGTCTTGCAGCACCAGGTGAGGCACAGCTGGAAAGCGTGCCTCCCTCCCCAAAGGCTGAGGGTCTCACCCCTTTCCCCTGAAATTTCGGGCACAAATCAAGCCAATTGTAAGCTGTAACTTAATAAGGGTGACATTTAAGGCACTTGGCATGCTGGCATCCTAGAATGTGAAAAAGATGAGGCTTGGATGATCATCAAAGGTGAGTTTTGTTGGTTTGAAAATTACTAATTCATATTTTCTTAGCTTTTTTCCTACTGTATTTCCAGGGATGATAAGAAAGATGGATTGAAGTTCTATACCGATCCTTCCTATTTTTTTGATCTTTGGAAAGAAAAAATGTTACAAGATACTGAAGATAAGCGAAAAGAAAAAAGGAGGCAAAAGGTAAAAGCAGAAACATAATAGCAAATGCATATATTACAATTTTGTGTACGGTTGTTCAGGCATAAAATTTGCTAGGTCGTACTTAGTTTGTGGAAAGACTATTTGTTTGGAAAGCCCATTCCTCTTTATACATAACTGTAGATTCAGTTGACTCGGTTTTTAGAGCTCATAAGGTCTATTTTAAGAAGCTAGCAAGTTGAATTTTAGGAGCACTGTAGTTATCTTCCAAGATACTTTCTTTAATCCTTTGCCAGTATCCGCTTATTTTAGTACTCAGCAAAATGGTCCTGTTGTGCTTTGGAAGAAGACACCGTGTGTTTTGTGGAGAAAAGAATTTGAATTATGGTTTCCTTTATTTTCTTAGTTCTTTATTCAGGAGCATAACTCATGTAGCAAAACACGAGCTTATCCAGAAATAAATACTTTTGTTGAATGTTTTAATTCCTTAGTAAAAACTCTTCACTTTTCTACACCTGTTACAAATTAGTAAGATGATAATACACAGCAAAATTACTTTGTGGGTCAGGAAGAAAAGATCAAATTTAGGAGTGATATTCTTTGTTTCCTTTAAGTTTAAAACTTACAAAAAAAGGATTTTTCTTAGAAAAGTTTCCTCAGTCCTTCTCAAACATCTTCAGCAGTTGGATCCAAGCTGTGTATTCTGATGCAGTCAAAATTTTCCTGATGAATTTTAGTTTTGAACAAAAAATCAGTGGTTACTTCAGCAAATTTGGCGGTCAAATTTTTTTAATCAAATGTGAGTGCTTTTAGAGTTTTTGAAGATAATTCTGGAAAAAAAAAAGAAAGTTTGAAGCAATGACTGCCCATCTTACCTGGCAGAAGGTGCCCTTTTAGGCAGGTTCAGTGAAAGATAAGGGATTTAGAATGAAAGATGAACCCACTCCTCAGAAGAAATAGCAGGAAGCTGCTTAGTTTTCAGTATATAAACATACCTGTGTGTATGTACCCATACGTAGGTATATATATCACATATATTAGCATACCTATGCATGTGTATATAAAAGCAAGTATCATAATACATCAGCATATATTTATGTGTATTATACATGTATATATATGCACATAACGTCTAGTATGTGAATATACATGTTAATGTACATTGGAGTATAATATGTGCGTATATATGGATATATATGTGGTACTTGCTTAGGAAACAAATTGTAGGGCATGACTGGGAAGCTTTCCTGTTCTGTTTTTATAAAATGCTATTAATTCATTGTTTCTGTTGCTAGACAAAACTTTGCTATGACATTTTTAAAAAAATATAACTAGTTGATTTAACTAAGACATTTAGTGAATTCATGATTTTAAGTGTTCTGGAAGAAGTCATGTCTTCCTATTAGGATTACAAGTCAAAAGTGTTTTCTGTTTTGACTGAAATCTTAAATAGAGCTGAAAAAGCTGAATAAACATTTTCAGTAGAACTTATTGGCTAAAGTAAAGCATTGAAAAATGCTCACTTTATTTGTATAGCTGTATAGAAATGTATGTGCAAGGTGATAATCCCACTATATTCTCCGTATGATGAGTCACAGTGCTGATAAAAGACTCAAAATAATTCAAGGAGCTCTCATTCTCTAGCTGTTTTTTTAATATATAATTTCATTCATTTTTTTTTAATAAAAAACATACAGGGATAATTGCACCCTTTGGATTTTTTCCCTCCTACCTTTTTCCCTTCAAATTTAGATCTTTTCACTAGAAAGATGGATAAAAAGAAACTATCAATTGCTATTTTTTTCATTCTGATTTAATATGAAAAAGGAAAAAATACAGAAGCTTGGAAAAATTTTCAACTATTGCTTGAAAATTTGTTGAGAGCTGTAGAGAAATTTTTATAAAACCACTTACCTATAAACTTACCTTTAGACACTATTTTAGGCAACACATCTCCCTTATTTCCATCTGTGGTATATTTTTTGTAGATTTTAATTATCTTACTACAGTCTACCAACCAGATGTGAAATATGCTCAATTCCGGTCAGGTAAGGTTACAGCCATACATCACAGAAATACCCCTTGAAAAATTGTACCCGAAGCGCTGTTAAGTGTATAACAAGACTAACTAAGAAGACAGCAGCAGAGATTAGAGTTTGCCTGAGTTGGTGATGCTTTGCGACAGCAAGAAGGCTGGGGTTTGTCACTTGGAACCTTTAGAGAGCTGCTGGAGGGTTTTGGTGAGATGTTTCACAGGCACCGCTCATTCTGCAGGTTGTTTAATAGACTGTTGGTTTTGAATCTCTTAATTGAGAATTCCTTACACGATTTGTATTCTACAGAAGCACAAAATATGAAAGTTGAGAAACCGTGCAGGTGAACTAGATGTCTAGTGTTCAGCAAATGCAGTCCAAGTATAGCTGCCTTTTAACCTCAGTTTTTCAGGTGGTTCTTCAGCCTGAGAGTAGTCCTTGCGCAAGAGAATCAGTTTTCCAATGTTATTTTGGTAATTTGCCTTAAATGCTTGAGCTCTTGCAGCAGAAGGTTTGTGGGGAGTTTCATTTTCCTGCCTTCAGGTATCAAACTTACTTATTGTTTTGGTATTCAGTTTAACTGAAGAAATCGACCACAGGCTTCCTCTGATTTGGCTGTTTCAGGTGAACTTTTCATCCAAAGAAAAGCGTTGATCTTAGTTCTTCAAATTTAAAATTTGTGCTCTAGTCGCTTCCCCCCCCCATTAAGAGTGGTAATTTTAAAATTGGAGGGCTTGTATTTCAAAAATAGTTCTTCATGGCTTGTGATTGGTCGGATCTGGTAAATTTTTGAAGTCAGGAAAATACTCTAGGCTTACACTTCCAGTTTTTTGAAAATATCATAAATACTTGCTGAAGCTGCTTTCTGTGCTAGCTCTAATTCTTTACTAGGATGCTTGAAATACCATTTGCTAACTCATGATGCAGATATCAAAATCAGCTTAACCCTGTGTGAGGGCTCTAATGCTTTTGTCATGTTTGCTGAAATGAATGTTGTACCTGTTCTCTGGCTTAACCTACAGCATCCCCTTGTCTGCCACAGCTTCTGGTACACTTGATTAATGGAAATAACTCTTCTTAATATCACTTAACTGACTTACAGTTAGAAAAATTTCTTAGGCATTTTGAAAAGCTTCAGCTCCCCTGGATCTCTGTCGTCATTGCCCGCGGTACTAAAACTAGAGCCGTCATATAGTTTTTGTATAGTTTTGCCAGCTGCTAGTAATTGGCCTGCCCCACTGTTTCGGAAGAAATTAAATGCTTTAGAGATATATTTATAGAATATTTAATTAAAAACTCAATACCAGTAGAGTTTAGGACTGTTTGAGTAAAAAGATTTCCAGCATATCTGTTCATCAACACACGTAGAAATGCTGGCCTGGAGCGACACACCCGACTGAAATCTGATGCAGTAGAACCAAACTCAGCTTTGTGTTTATTTTATGTTATTTATTTATACATGCATATCTGCCTTTTTGTAAATGTATAGCAATCTCTTTAAAGCTAAAATTTTAAACAGATGATTGTACGTAAGCAGTCATGTAAACACTCCTGATTGTACAGGAATTGTATCAAAATTATCTTCTGAGCAGCAGCATACATTGGTCAAAATGTGGATGTTCACTTTATTTAACAACTTGCAAGAAATATGTAGTTTTGACCTTTCGAGGCTGGAGTTACTATCCTGTGAGCAAACTGAAGCATATTTTCATTTAAACAAAAGCCTTACTTGTAGTTTTCTCTCAAATCTGGTGTGTAAAAAAATCTTAATAAGTGAACCGTAATAAAAGTCATAAATTAAATAAAATTCTGCAGCAATCAAATGAAAAAGACAGCTGTAAAGCCTTTAACAAGCATATATTCAACCATGGCATTTAGCAAGATTTGATTTAAAATAAAGCATGACTGAATCTCCCTCCCTTTGTTTCTATATATGTATTGGGAAATTTTGATGTGAAAAGCTGGTATTAAAGGAGAAGGTAAAGCCATGCATAACCTGAGTTAAAAAAACCAGATGTTATGACAAAATGTTTGGGGAGGAAAAAGATTTTATAGGAAGTAATTAAGGTGATGATCTTTACTTAACATGAATCAGATCAAATATCTACTCACTGCAGGCGACAGGAATGAGCAAGTGCTGTCAGAACATTTGGATGTTGAACTTCAGAAAGACTTTTCTCTGTCATCCTTAATGATAGCAGGCGCAGATCAGTAGATCTCTCGTACAGACACGCATGAAGAGCCAAGAGATCCAAAACAAGGGCAAGCAAAGCCATTTGATACATTTTCGTTAGCTGACTAATGGCAACGACACTATTTCAGAATTATTTACTCAGTGCTGTTTGACAACTGGAGTAAAATACATATGTTCATCTGTGATAGGCTTTTTTCTTTTTGGCGAGACTGGCTTTCCGACTGTTATCGCTTACTTTGAAGATAGAGATGCCACAATAAAATGTTAGCATTTTACTGAACTCTTCTCCAAATGCAACTGAATATGACTGTGTTCTCAGAATATTAATGTAATTATTTCCTGAGAAATTATTTTTCTAGCAGCCAAAAGCCTAATACTGACTTACTAAGAAATAGAACATACTTAACCTATTTATGAGTTAGTATTCTAAGATATGGGCTCTAGAGCTGATTAAAATGAAAAAAAAAAAAAATCTAACACTCTTGAACATGGAGAAGTAGCACATAAATACCCTTCTCCGTTTGGATTGAGCCAACTTGTTCATTTTTCTGCTGAAGCACCAATATGGCTTTTGTATTCATAATGAGTAGTCAAAGTAGGTGAGGCCAACATTTCAGAGGTATGAAAGCACTGAGTCCCACTGTTGAGGAGATCTTACTGATAGGTCACAAACACTGAGGTGGATTTGGCCTGAAATTATACAGAAAGATTAAAAAAAACTAACTGGGTTGATTTGTCATGAAGTTATCAAGCTGTAATCAAAAATCTCATTTCACATAAACAATGAAATAGGAAAGTGCTTCTAATTTTTTCATACTTCCTCAAGGCCTCAGGTGGATGTGACCCTAATGAATAACCAAAATAATCCTGAGCATATTTAACATATTCTCGTAAGGCTGATTTGCAGGACAAGGAAATTGCAAGTGCTTCAGGACGGTCTAAATAAGGTACATACAATGTCAGAAGAAGTTAAACTTTCAGGCTTTTAAAATCAGCCACACGTCTGTATTGGGAAAAAACCCCAGAAGGCCGGTACCACACTAGTATGTGCATCCTGCAGCAGAAGGGCAAAGCAGCAGTATTACCACTAAGGAGGTTCATAGCATAAGGAGATATTCTCATTTTCAGTGCAGAGACATTTTATGAAGACTTGGCTTCATCTGTAAATCTGATCTTATTTTCGTGCACTCTAACTGCATTTTAACCAGCTTTTTTTTTTTTTTCCTTTCCTTTTTTTCTCTCTTTGCATGCTTTATTTCTTTTGTTTGAACATCAGGAGCAAAAGCGTATAGATGGCACCACCCGTGAGGTGAAAAAGGTTAGAAAAGCCAGGAACAGACGTCAGGAGTGGAGTATGATGGCGTATGACAAAGAGCTTAGACCTGACAACAGGTTGTCTCAAAGTGTGTACCATGGAGCATCTTCCGAGGGATCCCTGTCCCCAGATACTAGGTCTGTTTACAGCAAAGCTGTTTGTTATGCCACAGTTGTATGTTCAGAAATACTGAGTAGAAGTAGGTGTATTTACAGGTCGGGAATAGTTAGAATAGACAAAATGTACAATGCATGTTTTGAAATTCTTCTCGAAATTATTGTAAAGCATAAATAACATAAACTCTCTAACAACTATTTTTTTTTTCTTCAGCCTCAGATAAGCATTTTTTCATCGTAACGCTATGCACTGTGGTGAAATAAGTGTTTGCTGCATGCTGTATATTTGATCTTGAGTAGTTGTGGTTACAAAAGCATTTAAGTCTGCCTCTACTGGATACTGTCAGTTATTCCTCTTTTGTGTCTAGTCTGTTGTATGTTATGCTGCTGAGAGCTTAATAAATATTCTTCTGTGATCTCAGTGGAGCATACTTTTGCTTCCAAGAGAATGCTTTAATGGGGGAATAGTTCAGCTTTATCAATGTTAAATTTGTCTAAAAAGCAAGCTGCAAAACCAGATGAAACACTGGTGCTTTTGATAGCAGAAATCTCTGCTTAGCGACGCATAGCAGAGTTCATCTGGGTTGACTGAGGTTCCCTTTGAGCGCAGTGAGAGTCACCTTCTGGTGTGCACAAAGTTGGGAGTTTTTTCACTAAGCTGGACTCACTAGAGGATTTTCCCCACTTAATTCCTGTGTTGTGGTTAATTGTGAGCAGTAGTGTTAGGAATAAATAGAATCTGCTGGAAGAAACGTGACAATTTTGTTTTTGGAAATTCTCGAGTCACAGAATCATAGAATGAGTTGAACTGGAAGGCACCTCTAAAGGCCCTTGAGTCCAACCCCTCTGCAGTGAGCAGGGACATCTTTAGCCGGATCAGGTTGCTCAGAGCCCCATCAAGCCTGACCTCGAATGTCTCCAGGGCTGGGGACTCCACCACCTCTCTGGGCACTGAAACACTGTTCCAGTGTTTGACACCCTCAGAGTAAAGAACTTCTTGCTAATGTCTAATCTAAATCTACTCTGCTCTGGTTTAAAACCATTGCCCCTCATCCTTTCACTCCCTCATCAAGAGTTCCTCTCCAGCTTTCTTGTGGGTCTGCTTTGGGTACCGGAAGAACTGCTATAAGGTCTCTCCCCGGAGCCTTCTCTTCTCCAGTGTGGCTTCCCAAATGGCTAGACTGAGGAAGCAGCCACCACTGCACAAGTGTGTACTGATACTTTTAGTTCATTGCAGTGGAGAATAATGGAAAAAAAAAAATCTCGAATATTTCTGTCTTACGCTTTGGTCTTTGCAAAGGGTAATAATCTTGTAATTGAAACAAAAGCTTAAAATTGCTACTGCTGTTTCCATAATACACACAGACCCCCTCCCTCCCTCTGTCTAAAATCCTTTAATCACCAGTTTGGTTTTTTACAATTTCTAATGAAAAACCTTCTCTCCTGCTTGTCAGTCTGCAATGTTTCATTAAGACTATATTTTCTATGGGTTGATCTGGTAAAATGACATTTGTGTTCAACTGTGAAGTGCAAGATGTGGATTTTTATTTTGTCGTAAGTTCTGTGTTTCACACATTTTGAGTTTTTCTAGCTGTAACATGTTGCCTTCAGGATTACCAAGTTTAATAAACATGTGATCTGTTTTTATCTCCCAGCAATACCAAGGTGTATCTGACTGCAGATATCCAAAATACTTGCAATCTGTAGCATTATTTTTTTAAAGCAGAAATTGCAGGAGCCATCATTGTTGGTTATAGATATTGGGGTATGACAGATACCTTGTATTTATATAAGCCTTTCAAATTTTACAGCATTTGCAGAACTTCAAATTTCAATGAGTCAAATATCAGTGATTGCATCCTGAAACCTGTGTTTTCCATGCATGAAGGTAGTGAGGTGGAGAGAAAGGTTTCTGGTTTTTATCTTGAGGTATTAGCTGCAGGAACTAAGCTATTAACAAAATCCTTACCTAAGTACGGGTTAAAGAGATGTGTTCATACTGACAGCTACTGTGTGAGCGGCATTTTATAAATAAGGTCCCGCAGAAGTGTATTTGGCTATGTTGTGATTCTTTTTAAATGCTGAACTGGAAAAAAAGCTCATGTTTTTCTCTTTTGCTAATTGTAAGACTTGTGCATTCAACATTGACATCTCATTGTCCAGACTGCAGCAATTTACAGTGTATTTGTTATACTTATTGTACTTTAGAAAGAGAAACACAAGCTGAATCCAAACAGAAACCAGCAAATTAATGTGAGAAAAGTAAGAACAAGGAAAGAAGAGTGGGAGAGAAGGAAAATGGGCATTGAGTTCATGAGTGACGCAAAGAAAATGGAACAGGCAGGAAGCATGAAAGAGGACAAAATGCCTAAAGGGTTTGTCATCTTGTTTTACTGAAAGCCCTGGCTTTTTGTTGCTTACCTTGCTTCCAGTCTTACAGATAAGTGCCTCAGTTTTCTGTGTTCACTAAAAGCCGAGCTGCACGACTGTTCATTACTAAAACAACCATTTCCAGTAACAGGATGAAGAGATCCTTTTGCTCCCTCTCTTGGACTTATTTGACAGAGCATCCTAGACTTTGTATCTTTATGAACTCTCTGCTCAACTAATATTTACATTTCCCAGTTTCTCTAAGCCTTTCTAGCAAAATTAATTGTGCAAACAAAATAAAGAGCATTTTCTAACTTATAAAATTGGTTTTCTCTGCTTTGGTGAAATACATTCTTCTTGTGAGTGCTTGCAGTATTGCTTCCCTTTTTCTTTTGCTGTTGTTAACTTAAGGCAGGCCCAAAAAGTGTTACCATTTCAAATAATGGACAGTCAAACTCATTAATAAAACCAATATGCCTTCTTATGGCTACTGAAGAAGTTTAAAATCTGGAGAAAGCTCTAAATTTTTTTGCCTTAAAGTCTCATTATAGGACATTCTGCATGCAGCTAGTATGCTGAAATACTGAAAACATTCAAGTCCTTTTATGCTGGCTTGTCAGACTAACTTATTTTTAAGTCATGTTAAGCTGAACCATGATTTTCCATTGCATTTGTTCTTACGCTTCCTGTTGACTTACAAATGAATCGTGCTTGATAATCAGGGAGAATAATTCTGATTGTGTCCTTTTTAGCTTTTCTTGAGAGCTGTCTGGATAATACCCTGTTAGATAATCTGTTTTTCTGCCTCCGTTTACTTGTAATTGTAGGTCCCATGCATCTGATGTTACAGATTATTCTTACCCTGCTACTCCGAATCATTCCCTCCATCAGCAGATAGCAATGCCTTCGTATGGGACAGGTGATGCTCCACAGTACGTGGCAGCGGCCCAGAGCCACGAGCATGAGTACAGGCCACCTTCCGCCACCGCCCGCCACGCAACCCTGAACAGGCCGCAGCAACCGCCTCCTCCTCCGCCACAGCCTGCCGACAGCCAGCAGAGCTCAGCACCCGTGGTGCCGGCGGAATATGGGTAAAACTCCTGTTTTATTCCAGGATGAAACTACAGGGATATGTGGTTTTTTCCATAACCATATAAAGCACACGCATGCAAAGACCCTACATATGTTATACCCCTGGGGAGGACAGGAAAGATAAAGGCATGCTTTCCTTAGACACATGGAATTGAAGAAATAGAAAGCAGAAATAATGAACTGTGTATTGAATGCAGTGAAATCGATGTGCTTGTAAAATATTAAGGGTTCTTAATATAATATTAAAAAGGGGTACATTTCCTTTGAAGTGAAAAATAGTTACAGTGTTATTTGAATAATACTAATTTTCAGGAAACATGCAGGAAAAGTATTGCTGCATGTGATTAATGTGGGTGTCTGTGGTGCATCCCTGAAATGACTTTTTAAAGGAGCTTATGACAGAGCTGGAAGGGATCCCCTATGACAGCGAATTAAGTTCCCTGCTGCCACAGACACCTCTGTAGCCCAAGACACACATTTATCAAACTCCTATGAAGATACTTTGAGTGCATTCTGAAGGAAGGCTTCCTCCAAAGCACCAGCTCTCAGATGGCAAGAAAACATCTGTTTTATAACCAGTCTGTTTGTTCCTTTATTTGAATAGCTTAAACTTTCAAGCTGTAAAGGAAAGTTGTAATTGTTCTTGTCTGTCCTGTTCTGAACTAAGCCAGGCAAAGTGTTTCAGCCTCACTTCATGCATCCGGGGACGGCGTTTGCCTGACTCATGACAGTACCATGCTGTCAATATCTCAGTCATGCTATGATTGACTGCTCCAACCTGTATTTTCTCTGTTATTTCCAGTTTATAACAGAAATACTTGTGCTTAGTCCCCAGGCACATGACTGTGGTATCACAGCTGTCATACGTCGACATGTGTTGCTGAATGTCACCATAACTTTTCTTCAACTCACAGAATGAAACTCGTGTCTCCTCTATCTAGTTCTTTACCTACTTCATAATTCTTATATTAATTCCCATTTTTGCTGCTTAAGAATTCTATTAATGACATTTTAACAAAGAAATCAGCTCTTTCCTGTTCCTCCTTGTTAAAATATCAATCACATGTATCAACTTAAATAATATTTTTTAAATTTATAACCTTGACCCAAGCAGTGCAAGGTGCATGATTTACCTTTGGGTAAATCTTACCAATCGTACTTTCCGTTGTTCTCCATGCCTATTGTCTTTCTTATTATTGCTTCATATTTGTTCTAACACTTGGACTTGTCTTGTATGAAAGCGATACATTCAGTCTACAATTTTCTTAGTCCCTTCATCATAGGCATTGTATGTAATATTCTCAGAGTAGTTGTTTAGTAACAAATACAGCTTTATACTTAACTAGGCAGGAGCATGGAGATTAAAAATTTCATTTTGTGGAGTGCTGAAAGGACATGCAGCTTTTCTTAACTTTATCTGCCTTAAATCTCAATGTGTTACTAATATTTGACTTGCATATTTACCTCGCCAGTTGAAATTCCTTTTGATTTCTGTTTTAGCTGAGGTTGGATGAGAGAAGTCTAAGGGGTGATGATTCTCTAAGTCCTAACTTTGAATGCATTAAATGTTTCTGTTCTGTTCTGTCATGTAGGATACTTCCAGCTCAGATGGTGGATTATTACAATCCTTCAGGTCCTCCTCCTCCTCCTCCTCCCCCTATGATTCCCTCAGCACAAACTGCATTTGTTAGTCCCCTGCAGCTTCCTGTGCCACCTTCCCATCCTGGACTGGTGACCAGCTCCACACACGCAGCTGCTCATCCTCCTCCTTCCAGTGGGCTTGTTGTTGCTGCACCCCCTCCTCCCGGCCCCCCTCCTCCTCCTCCAGCCCCTCCTGCTGCAGGTTCATCCCTCTCCTCCTCCCCCATGCATGCTCCTCCAGCTGCCCAGGCAAAACGCCATGAACCCGCGCAGCCACCAGTGAGTGACGCACGGAGCGATCTTCTGGCCGCCATTCGGATGGGTAAGGGGAAACTGCGTTTTGGAAGTTTCCTTCCAGCAGGGAAAGCACCATGTTTGCCAGTGGTCTGAGCCTGTGACTTCCGGTCCCAGCTGAGCAGAACGTCACTGAGAGGCTAGTTAACCACAGGTACCACACACACCTACTCTTAACATTTGTCAGCCCCAACTTTGGATCTTTTTGTTGCCTAAAGATGTACAACTTTGTCATACATTTGGGTTGGAAGAGACCTTTAAAATCATTGAGCCCAACCGTTAACGTAGCACTGCCAGGTCCACCCCTAAAACGCATCTGCACACACATAATCTGCCACATCTACACAGGCATCTGCTTTTGTGGACGCAATCACATGAAAACAGTACTTGTGTCCATTATATAAACTAGCCAGTAGATGTACATGGATTTTTGCTTCTGTTCAGAACCGAGTTATCCAACACCAGCCTTGAGCCCACTGATAGTTTTCCCCAGTGACTAATGGCTGTCCCTGTCTTTTTTTTAGAGATGGAGGTGTAGGTCTAATGGTATTTCCAAATACGACTCTCATCTTCAGATGAAAAGGACCCATACAGTCTTGAAAATTTATTTTTAACATATTGTTGGCAGTTTCAGGAGTCTTAGACGTATTTAGTCTCTGAGAATGGATTCCAGTCTGGAGGTCTCCAACTCAATGATTTCTTTTTTTTTTTTTTTTTCCTTCTTCAGTGTATTATTATAGTAACAAAAACAACTTGCAGATATGAAATCTAAAATCTCTTTTGTGAAAACTTTGTCTGAGTGTCCTTGTCTCTACAGGAATTCAGCTGAAAAAGGTGCAGGAGCAACGTGAGCAAGAAGCAAAGCGAGAGCCTGTTGGAAATGATGTGGCCACCATCCTCTCACGACGCATTGCTGTGGAATACAGCGATTCCGATGACGATTCAGAGTTCGATGAGAATGATTGGTCAGATTGAACCTGGTCTGAGCCCAGTGGCTCATTGAAGTAGTTGGCTTCAGTGACTGCTTTCTTAGCAAGGTGTAAAACAGGACGTTGACATGCATTAAGGCTAGTGAGCGAAGTGCAGAAATTGAATTGGCATTATTCAGAATGCTGTAGCTTAGCAACTCTGGTAATAACAACGTGATTATGCTTATGCGGATCAGAAACTTGTCTTACTTTCAGTATTTACCACATTGTTCTTAAGTGCCACTAAATGTAGCAAATCATGTGCTGCGTGCAAAATATGCTGCAGTTGTTACACTGTTACAAAACCAGCATTTTATTTTACTTTCCTGATCTTGAAGGGATAAAATATATTTTTTTGACTTTACGTTTTATTCTTTTAATTCTGTAGGCAATGTAGGTACTTGTGAATTGGTCTGGTTTTTAGTCTTTGAGGGCAGTTAACTGTGACAGAATGAAGCAATGGGTTCCATAAATACAACTTCCAGCTTTTTTATTAGTTATTAATTATGTCCACCTTAGTCTAATTTGAATCACTTCTGAGCTTGGATTTTTTTCTGTGCAGAATTGATTTTACAGAATTTTAAAAAAAAAATCTTAAAAATGTCGCATGTGTGCTCTGAAGAATGAATCCACATGATCCAAAATTAACATTTTGGGAGCAGACTGTGTAAGTTTGTACCAGTAGCAGCTGCTAGCTGCTTGTTGGGTGCTGGGGGAGTCTCAGGTAGGTAGTGGCTGCATGTCTGTGTTACAAATGAAAACTAAAATACTTGTAGAGCTTTTCAGTTCTACAATACAAATCAACTAGATGCAAAGATGGACCCTACTGAAGCCCTACAGTTATTGCAGTGGAAATGTTACTCTGTGATTACTGAAGGTTGGAGCAGTCCAGATGTAGCAATGGGATCCATTTCACAAGTACTCAACTGGGTCTATATGCCTGTAGGTATAAATGTTTGTAAATAAGTTTCCTTGCTGTTGATTTGAACATGTACAGTCAGGACAGATGGTTTTCAGTTTCCTATAGCACGTTTATTCAAAACTTCAAATGTATTTCTTTCCCAGTACATCCCATGGATAAAGCATTGGCAGTTAAAACAGTTTTAATGGCTGTTTAGGTACTATGCCGTATACATACACACTTGTTTTCTCCTTCGCTAAGAGCAGTTGCTGCCATACGGTCTGCTTTGGCTGTCTCTGCTTTAAAAGTAATTTCTTCCCCCTCCCCCCCCCCCATTACAGTATTGAAATATTTTTTGTTTGTTTGGTTTTTTTCTCTTTTCTGAACTGACAGTCAGGCTGCTGCTTTGCCTAATGAGGCTTTTAGAAATTTATTCATAGCAGAGGAAGAGTTCTTTCCTTACCAGATTACAGTTTTAATCTTTGCAACTGAAGTCTATGTAATTTAAGGTCTAACATTTGGTAAAGCTCCTTTGTTCTATGAGGCCCTGTCTGTTCTTAAAAAAAAAAAAAAGGTACATAAAGTAAAAAGAGAAATGGAAGATAATTATGTAACACAAGGTAATTGTCTTACACAACTGACAGTTTTAGTCCTGGCAGTGTAACAGCCGAACATGTTGTTTGCACACAAGCTCTTGGCTGCTGCGTTGCTGTTTAATCAGCGTGTGATTTTTCAGTCTGTGGTGACTGTCTTTATGGTGGGCTGGTGAGACACTGCCTCAATGCTGGTGTTAAAGCTTATCATGAAATGTACAACCAGGATCCGCGTAACAGTCAGCAACTGCAGCTCATGGTCACTGGTGGCAGTTGAAGGTGTCTCCATGTCAGCTGCAGCTGGTTTCGTCTTTGCCTTAAAATAGAGCACCCAAGTCTGCTTCATTTTGTGTCCCAAGGCCGGAGGTCGGTGTGTCCACCAAAAGGATTCAGGCCAAAACCTGATGATGAGTTTTTGTCACTGGATAAGAGATGATTTGCTCTGATTGTCACGGTCTGCCAGCACCGTGGAGGGGTCAGCTGAAAGCGGAACCGGGACTGCAGCATTGCGTTGCTGCGCAAGGGGAAGAGTACTCTCAAGTGTTCTTTTAATACCTGCTGAAATTAAATATCTCAGCAGAAAATTCTTTCCGATGAAATTTGATATGACAGAAGATATATTTTATGAGCACAAGATGGGCATGTCTGAAATTTTGTAATTTGTGTTAATTTTAATTAATAAGAATTAAACAAGCAATGAGTTGTGACCATTTAAGTAGTGTAGATTTTTCAGTCATAGCAGCCAAGCTGTTTTCCTTAACATGCAATGTTGTCATGTTCCTTTTGGTATTTTATTAATAAATGTGAATTGAATTTAGTGATGTAAACTAAACATTACCCCAGGCTGTTTTTTATCAGTTGTATCATACTTTGGGTTGTGAACAAATATGAATAAAATATCACATTTGAACCTTTCTTCACTTAGATTAGTAAGATTTTACTAAGGGTAGACTCAATCCCCTCATCCAGTCATCAGTAAAGATGCTGACCTGGTCCCAGTACTGATCCCGGGGGGACCCCACTGGTCACCAGGTGCCAACTGGATGCAGCACCATTCACCACCACTCCCTGGGGCCTGGTCCTCAAACCA